GGTAAATGTGTATGCCCTTGTGCCCCTCACCCAGATGCTTCCCAGTTCCTCTCACTGCCCTAAGAGGCTCTTATCCACCCAGGTCCTGTTTTCCCTACCTTCATGCTGGGTATCTCTTAGCAGAAAAGCCATGTATTCATTGTCTTAGCTTAAGCCCTCACTAAGGGCTTTGTTTGGTACAGATGCTGTGGGTGGTAGAGAGACTGTTGTAGCCTCAGCGCCCTTAGTGACAGACTTGATTTCTGCTCCTGCTTAGCTGGTTGTCGGCACTGGAGAGCACCAAATGGTTGCAGCACTTGTCAGTGATGTTAAAGGCTGCTGTGCTGGTGGCTAATACAGTAGACCGGGAAGGCCGGCCTGTGCTGGTGCACTGTTCAGATGGCTGGGACCGGACGCCACAGATTGTAGCCTTGGCCAAAATACTACTGGACCCCTATTACAGGACATTAGAGGTATTAAGAGGGACTGGGTGGGAAAGAGCAGAGGGAGTGGTGGTGGGGTGTGGGCTCTCTAATTTAGCCTTGGGGATCTTTCAGTAGAGGGCATTGGTGGCTTTGAGTCCCCTTGTACGTAAGATCAGTCCTGTTTCTTTTTGTTGTTGCTAGCTGTCTGGTTTGTGACGTCCCTTGGGACATAGCACACCAGCCTTTCCAGAGAGGTCCAAGGCTTGGACTATTTCTCCTTTTAGGGCTTCCAAGTGTTAGTGGAGTCTGACTGGCTGGACTTTGGGCACAAGTTTGGAGATCGCTGTGGCCACCAGGAAAATGCAGAGGACCAAAACGAACAATGCCCTGTGTTCCTCCAGTGGCTTGATTCTGTTCATCAATTGCTCAAGCAGTTCCCCTGCCTGTTTGAGTTTAACGAAGCATTCCTGGTAAGTCCTAAAGCCTGTCACCAGGGTGGTGGAGGATGTTGGCTTGAGGCTCCAAGGTGCAACAGTCTTGGCCCTCTAGGTAAAACTGGTTCAGCACACATACTCCTGTCTCTACGGCACGTTCCTGGCCAACAATCCCTGTGAGCGAGAGAAGCGCAACATTTACAAGCGGACCTGCTCTGTGTGGGCTCTCCTGCGAGCTGGCAATAAGAACTTCCATAACTTCCTCTACACACCCAGCTCAGATATGGTAAGTTGAGCTGTTATCTGGTAGGGCCTGCTTGAAAACCTACAGGGAGGACAGACCAAATCATTTGGGGGAACGTAGGAGCAAAGGCAGTCATGGGGAGCAAGAGGGACTGGGAACATATCACGAAACACTGGCGCTGGACTGCTTTCCTAGGTCCTGCATCCTGTGTGTCATGTTCGGGCCCTGCACCTCTGGACAGCTGTTTATCTGCCAGCTTCATCTCCATGCACACTTGGAGAGGAAAACATGGATCTTTACCTTTCCCCAGTGACTCAGAGCCAAGAGTTCTCTGGCCGCTCTCTAGACAGGTAAGAAAAGTCCCTTCCCTCCTTCCCCAACCAGGAAGGCAATAACTGCTTCATATCTTGCATAAAAGTTGTTCTCTTTTCTTTTATGGGATACTTGAAAGCAATTTCCTGAGTCAGTGGAAAGAGAAACTTGGTGCAAGTCTTGTAGCTAGTCTGGGGTGTACTCTGTGTATTTTCAAGGTCCTCTCTTAAGATAAGATTGTGGTGGTGGTGGTGTTATGTGCCATCGAGTCACCCCGACTCATAGTGACCCCTCCTCGGGTTTCTGAGGCGGTTTCACTATGGAAGTAGATTGCCCAACCTTCCTTCCGAGGGTGGCTGGTGGGTTTGAACCACCAGCCTTCTGGTTAGCAGTCAAGTGCCTTAGGCACTACGCTACCAGAGCTCCCAAGGTAAGATTGGTTACCTTCTTTCCTGGAGCTGCTGTCACCCTGTGTGACATTGCTAAGTAGGGTAGAGGAGAATGAAATGGAAAGAATTATTTCAGGAAGGTTTATGGAAATAATCTTGATTTTTGTTCATTCATTGAAGCTTGCGGTCTTAGCAGCAACCTTTACTATGGCCAGCATTAGCTTCCAGAAGCATCTGACTCTCAGGTTCCCGGAAAAGAGAGGGCCTTTACATTGTTCCCCCAGAAAGAGGCCAAAACTTAAAGAGACCCATGAAAATTAAAATGATCTCCTGGCTGAATATTTATATAGAGATATTTTGGGGAAAGTGAAAAGGGAGTTGGTTAAAAAAATGCTTCTTATTAAAAATAAAATGTGGAAAAAAATATAACTTATAAAACAGTGCAGAAGTAGAAAATATAAGACCTTCTTCCTTAATTCTAGTCTCCACCAGATGTCCACTGTTAACACTTTGGTGCATGTCCATGTCCTTCCAAATCTTTATCTCCACATAGATAAATACATCCACACACTAAGAGATTGTTGTTGTTGTTGCTATGTGCCGTCAAGTCAGATCCAACTCATAGCAACCCCTCCTTGGGTTTATGAGGCAGTATCTCTATGGAAGTAGATTGCTCCATCTTCCTTCCAAGGAGTGCTGGTAGGTTTGAACTGCCAGCCTTCTGGTTAGCAGTCAAGTGCCTTAGGCACTACACTACCAGAGCTCCTCACTTATAGATAGAAACATTTAAAAAACAAACAGAATCATGTTTTACATACTGTTCTGAAAATTATTTTTTCCACTTTGCATTATTCCTGTCATTCTATGATAGCACATTTAAAGCTGTCTGTGTGTGGAGGGGTGTGTGTAAAAAATATATATCATAAAATTTGCCATTTTAACCATTTTTAAGTGTATATAGTTCAGTGACATTAATTACATTCACAATGTTGTGCAACCCTCACCAACATCTATTTCCAAACTTTATGATCCCATAAAGAAACTCTGTATCTGTTAAGCAATAACTCTCCCTTCTCTTCTCCCCCAAGACCCTGGTAATTTCGAATCTACTTTTTCTCTCTATGCATTTGCCTAGATATTTCATATAAGTGGATCATACAATATCCTTGCTTTTGTGTCTGGCTTATTTCACTTAGCATAATATTTTTAAGGTTTGTTCATACGGTAGCATGTATTAGAATTTCATTTTGTTTAAAGCTGAATAATATTTCATTGTGTGTATATGTTAGATTTTATTTATCCGCTCATCTGTTGATGGACACTTGGATTGTTTCTCCCTTTTGGCTTTTGTGAATAATGCTATACCAAAAAGCCAAACTCATGCTGTTGAATCGGATCCGACTCATAACGACCCCTCCTTGGGTTTCCAAGGCAGTGTCACTATGGAAGTAGATTGCCTAATCTTCCTTCCAAGGAGTGGCTGGTGGGTTTGAACCACCAACCTTCTGGTTAGCAGTCAAATGCCTTAGGCACTACGCTACCAGAACTCCCATAATAATGCTGTACAAGTATGTTTATGTCTCTGCTTTCATATTTTTTGGGGGTGTATAGCCAGGAGTGGAATTGTTGAGTATTACATTCTTGTTCAATGGCTGCATGTTATTGTTGTTACATGCTGTCTAGTCAATTCCAACCCATGGTGACCCTGTGTACAAGAGAAGGAAATATTGCCTGGTCTTACACCAGCCTCACAGTCATTGCCATGTTTGAGCCCACGGTTGCAGCCACTGCATCAATCCATCTCATTAAGGGTCTTCCTCTTTTTTGCTGACCCTCTACTTAACCAAGCATTTTGTCCTCCTCAAGAGACTGGTCCCCCTGATAACATACATATCTAAAGTATGTGAGATGAAGTCTCACCATCCTTGCTCCCAAAGAGCATTTTGCATAGTATTCCAACATTAGAGTGAATCATAATTTATATACCCAGCTTCATACCAGTCACTTAGGTGATTTCCTTTTTTTTTTTTTTTCATCATTACAGGGAGTGCTTTAGTAAACATCTTTTATATATGTATCTTTGCATTTGTGCTAGTATTCCTAGAAATGAAAATGCCAATTCATATGGACATTTCAAATATTGGTATTTGTTGTCTGAAGGTTTTTTTAAAATTAAAATATAAACTTACACTGTTGGCTAGTGTTGTAAAGGCAAGAAAAGGCCCAACACCCTAAATTACAGGTTTTAGGGTCTTTTAAGATGGGTTGTTAGGGGCACGTGGATAGGCTTCAGGAGTTCCATGATTTCCCCCCTTTTGTATATGTACATAATTTGGGTATAGGTTCCTGGGCTTATTTTTCCAGGGAAAAGGGCCATATCTTTTATCAAAATCAGTAAGGTCTGTGACTCATTTAATAATCATTGCCTTAACTCAGGACCTGCTTTCTCAATTTAGTAAATGTTTCTTTAATACCTACACGTTGCCTAGTCTTGCATGAGGTTTTGTGGGCTCTACCGAAGAAATAAAAGATACTGGCCCTGCTTACAAGGTACTTTCAAGCTGGAAGATAAGGCACAGAACAAGCAGAGAATAATCCTAAAGCAGAATCTAAACAAATAATAATGTGTACAGTTCAAGGATTATTAGAGGAATGAGAAGTAATAAAAGGGTCATTTGGTAGATGTACTTAGAGAAGTTTTCATAAAGTATGAAGCAGGAACCATGGCTTTTTTGTGACCTTAGTATATGGCTTAGGGCCTGGCACACAATAAGTGCTTTGGTAAATGTTTAAATGGAAAAAACAAATGAACAGAATAAAGAGAGTTATGAGCTGGGGAACAAAGGTATTATTAGAGAAAGGTCCCAAGCAATTGGATACATGACATAATAAAGAATCTTGGTAAAGCTGACAGGGATTAAAAGGGGTGATTTTGGGGAATAGAAAGAAATACATGCCAGCCAGTTCATCAAGAGCTTTAAACAATACAATGAGAAGTTGATTTTGATTCCGTTATCAAGAATAATTCATTTTAGGAAGTCATTATGACCTGGTGACAATGGGATTTTTAGAGAACTAATCAGTGAGCAGAGTGGTTTTGGAAGCACAGTGACCAGCCACGGAAGTTGCAATAATTTAGATATAAGGAGAAGATTAAATTCAGAGACACTGGAGAAGTCATTAGGTGGCTATAGAACTGACTGAGTGGTGGAGGGTAGGAGTAAAGATAGGGATGGCTCAAAGACAGCTCTTAAATTTTAGAGCTTAGAAATTTGGTGATTATTAGTACTACTGATACACACTAGAAAGTTGAGAAGAGCCAGTTTGGGGAGAAAAAGGAGATATAGGCAGGCCGAGATTGAAATATTATCTGACAGCAAAGAGGAGATGTGCTATAGGCAACTCAGGATAGACATGTGCTATAGGCAACTCAAGACGGAGTATTGGATTTGGAAGAATATATGGTATAAAACTTTTTAGGGAAATGGATTCTCTAAGAGTGGACCTGACTTACCTTTGGTTCTACCTTTCTCTAGATTAAAAAAAGCCGTGCTCTATTTCCTCTTCAACCATTGAAATCTAACATATTCTTATATTCTTCTAGGTTCAGCTGAAATACCACCCCACCCCTGTAACAACCCTAGCTAGATGAGCTCTTGTTCTAAACTCCACTGGCCTTTTGACTAAACCTTTGGTGCACATCAGAATCAAAAGTGGAGGATGACAAAATGTTGAAATTGTCGAATTTGGGTGAAGGGTACGTGGAAGTTCCTTACACTCTTCCACTTCTTTTTTATGTTGGAAAGTTTCCATAATAAAAAGTAATACACACACAAATCAACTGTGTTACTTTTTAAAAACAAAGATGTCTGGGCTTTACTCTTGGCCCTTTTGACTCAGCAGGTCTTGGATGGGTCCTACTTGTCTATATTTCTTGAAAATCCATAGGCACTCCTGATGTATACCACATACTAAACCTCATTGGTTCACTTGATTCAATCACAGAAATGATTGAGAGTGCCCAAGGAGATTGTGTAGGGTGAAGACTGATAAAGGCTGAGGACAAAGTCCACGTTCTGTACCTTTTAGACTTGTAATGACATAGGATTATTTATCATTGTAAATGTGATTATTTCTTGTGAATTTTAGCTTTGATATTACTGTAGAATCCAATTCTTTATACTAGAGGTGGCTCCCATTTCCTGACCTGAAGATGTTTTTGTCATTTCAGATTGCCTAAAACCAGATCCATGGATGACCTTCTTTCTGCCTGTGACACAAGCAGCCCCTTGACTCGCACGTCCAGTGACCCCAACCTGAATAACCACTGTCAGGAAGCCAGAGCAGGCCTGGAGCCCTGGCACACCAGTCCCGAAGGATCAGAGACAGCTTTTGTGGAATCTGAGGCAGGAGGTCCTCAGCCGACTACAGGAGAGATGGGTCTTCCTCCTCCTCTATCTAGCAGCCAGAAAGACTACTTGAGCAATAAACCTTTCAAGAGCCCCAAAAGGTGTTCTCCAAGTTACAATTTGCTTAATACTGCAGTGCCCCAGGAAGTGAAGAGCAGCACCTCTGATCCTGAGATCAAAGTCCTGGAAGAGACTAAAGTACCAGCTCCAGACCCTCCTGCCCAGGATGAGCTGAGTAGGACTTTAGATGGTACAGGGGAGGAGCCATCTGAACACTGTCCTGAAAAAGATGCTGTCAGTGTACTCTCCAAGGTCATTTTCAACAAGTGTGATAGAATTTGTGATTTTCCTGAGTCTTCCCAGGACTTTCTTACAGGTACCCCCCAACAGGCCCAGCTAAACTCCAAACTCGGTGTGCCCTCCAGTTGTTCTTCAGATCCCGGTCTGGGCACCCTTTGCAACCCACTGAGTGCAGCCTGCCAAACTTCTCTGGACCCAAACCCTGGCTTCCTCAGCCAAGACCCCACAGGGTCTGTGGCAAGTATCTCCCCCAAAGAACACCCCAGTTCTGTGTACAGTCTGATTCATGGGGAAGAGGATGCTGGCAAAAGAGGGACTGGTAGGAATGGGCAATTATTGGAAAATCCTCGCTTTGGGAAAATGCCACTGGAATTGGCCCGAAAGACAATTTCTCAGAGCCAAATCAGTGAGTTCTCTTTTCTAGGGTCCAATTGGGACAGCTTCCAAGGGATGGTGACTTCATTCCCGAGTGGGGAGACCACCCCTCGGCGGCTGCTTTCCTATGGCTGTTGTAGCAAGAGGTCAAACAGCAAGCAGATGCGGGCAACAGGGCCCTGCTTTGGGGGCCAGTGGACTCAAAGAGAAGGTGTGAAGTCGCCTATCTGTTCTAGTCATTCCAGTGGACACTATACTGGCCCAGGAGGAAAAAACCGGATGTGGTTTTCTAGTCACCCAAAGCAGGTCTCCAGTACAAAGCCTGTTCCACTGAGCTGCCCTTCTCCAGTGCCTCCTCTCTACCTGGATGATGATGGACTCCCTTTTCCCACGGATGTGATCCAGCATAGATTACGACAAATTGAAGCAGGCTACAAACAAGAAGTGGAACAGCTACGCCGACAAGTACGTGAGCTTCAGATGAGGCTGGATATCCGTCATTGCTGTGCCCCTCCAGCAGAGCCCCCCATGGACTATGAGGATGATTTTGTAAGTATTCATCTACTGCCATGCATTCATGTTATCCAACCAGCCTTCTGTCCATCAACATTCATTCATTGGGTGTCTACTATGTGCCACTGAATTAGGTGTTGGGGCTATAGGATCAAAGACCTTAGGGGCTCACAGTCTAGTGGAAGAGACAAACCATTAAAATGATGTTCGTAAGGGTTAGATGAAGGGAGGCCAAGTATTAGGCTGCTGGGGCAGGCTGGGAATAGGGTGAAAGGAAAGACTTTCTTGAGAAGATAATGCTTGACTTGAGTGCTGAAGAATGTGTGGTATTAAGCTAAGTGGTCAGTGAAAAGAAAATACCATTTGCAGAGGCATGGAGTCAACAGGTACTGCAATGGTATATCTTAACAAAGGATTTTGTATGTATATATATATACATGTACATTTGTGCTGGAACCATTAGGAGGGGTTGGGTAGTGTGTTGGGAGGCGATATTGGAGAAGTAGATAGGGATTGGCAGGGTTGATTATGAAGGGCCTTGAGTACCCTTCTTGTTTAGATTTACCTTCAGGCAATAAAATTTTATTGCACAGAGAGTAACATGATCAGATTTGTGTATTAAGAATATTACTCTTGCAGTAGCGTGTCAAATGGGTAAAGCCGTTGGGACCTAGGTTGGGAGGCTGATTAGGACATTTTGGAATAATCCAGGTGAGAGATGATAAGGTCCATCTAGGTTCTGCTGTGTCTGGAGGTCTCAGCCCTGAGCAATATTTTAGCCTTTGTGGGCCAGATAGTCACTGTTGCAGCTACTTAGCTCTACTGTTTTATAGTGAAAACAGCTATAAACAATACATAACTGAATGAATGTAGCTATATTCCAATAAAGCTTGATTTACAAAATCAAGCAGTGGGCCAGATTTGACCTGTGGGCTATAGTTGATGACCTCTGGTTTAAACCATAATGAGATATTCTACATAGCATATTGGATAAAAGCTTGGCTCTAAAGCCAGAATACTAGGTTCAAATCCCAGCTTTTACTACTTAATAGTTTTTAACCCTCTCTTATTTGTGAATGGGGATAATAATAGTATATGTCGTAAGACTATTGTGAGGAATTAAGTTCATGCATGTAATATACTTAGAACAGTACCTGTCACAAAGTAAACAATAAAAGTTAATGATGATAAAGGTGATGTTGGTGTCTTTGCCTTTTCTTTAGACGTGTTTGAAGGAGTCAGATGGCAGTGATACAGAAGATTTTGGCTCTGATCACAGTGAAGACTGCCTTTCAGAAGCAAGCTGGGAACCTGTTGATAAGAAAGAAACTGAGGTATGTCCAGACAAATATGTGGTGGGTACTTAAGCAAGCCAATGAGTTGTCAGATTTCTGAGATGAGTGATGTGCGACAGATCTTGTTATTTTCTCCTGGGATGCTTTCCCTATTACAATGTTACTCTTCCACTTTGTTGACAAGGACCTGGAATTTTTCCTTGTGCCTTCTGTCAGGTGACTCGCTGGGTTCCAGATCATATGGCATCACATTGCTATAACTGTGACTGTGAATTCTGGTTGGCCAAACGAAGACACCATTGCAGGTAAGAAGGTGTTTTGTATGATCTAGTATTGTCTATAAAGCAGTGCAGTACATTTATGTACTTCTCAATCAGTCTGAAAATAGAGACACCAGGAAATGAGGAGCACTGGTGGCACAGTGGTTAAAGCCTTTGGCTGCTAACCAAAAGGTTGGTGGTTTGAACCCACCAGCTGCTCTATGGAAGAAAGAAGAGGCAGTCTGCTTTCATAAAGATTTACAGCCTTGGAAACCCTATGGGACAGTTCTACTTTGTCCTCTAGGGTCACTATAAGTTGGAATTGACTTGATGGCAGTGGATTTGGTTAAGTATACTGACATTTCTAATGAACCCTTTCTTTTTTTATGCTTTGGCAGAAATTGTGGGAATGTATTTTGTGCTGGATGCTGCCACCTGAAGCTGCCCATTCCTGATCAACAACTCTACGACCCAGTTCTCGTCTGTAACTCATGTTACGAACACATCCAAGTATCTCGTGCCAGGGAACTCATGAGCCAACATCTGAAGAAACCCATTGCTACAGCTTCCAGCTGAATGCCAGAGAAGATGACCTGTGCAATTTTAGCAGGTTTGAAGGGAGGATCTGCTTCAGGTGTAGTTTTGAAGGTTCCTTGGTGTGGCTCATGAGATCACACAGCTCAAAGATGCCGTCTTGAGAAATCCTCCTTGGTACCATGAGACTGGAGCAGAGGAATTCCAACTTGGCAGGAGGTCGTTTGTTGAGACCTTGGGGTAATGGTCTTGATTCAGTCCTGGAGTCTGGAAGCTTAACGTTGAATTGATGACTCCAGCTTCTTTCTCCTGGGGCTCACAAGATGATTTCATAGATACTTCCTGGTGCAAAGTGCCCCAAACAGCAATAGAAAGGCATATGTATAACCAAACTCCAAGTGACAACCAGACCCATCTCTCCTCCACCTTGAAAAAAGCAGATTATAGTATATAAGATAGGAATTTCTATCCTATTTGAGATGAACTATATCCCGCACCTCTGTGCTCTGTGTGCATGAAGGCTCAGTCTTTAGAGGCACTCCCTCTAGTTGCATTAGTTCTGTCTTTCTGTGGAGTTTGGTTTAAAGACTGGTTTAGCAAGTGGAGGTTTCGATGTATTTTTCACTTGGGCCAGCATCAGTGCACATTCATTCAGATAGGGGGACAGTTTAGGAAGTAAGACATTTTTGGGAGCAGAAGAAAACTGTGCTGATGTTCAGTCCTGGTGAAAATCAGTTATTTTGAGCTGTGAAGGCATAGTCTTTGTTACTCAGTGGCAGCTCTTGAAGTATGAATTGTAAAGAATGAGGAAAGGAGAAAAGTAAAAAATGATCCTTATGAAGTATCTATCTGCTGAGTTGTGCCCTACCCTTTGCACCAGACTTTTCCTAGTTGTCCTGGTGCTAACACAGGAGCTACACCTTGATCCTCTCCTGGCATGAAAGTAAAATGTTTTGTTTTGTTTTGTTCCATCACCCACTTCCCCCATGTTGTCTTTCCCTTGGCTGCTGCCTCCTCTGGGTCACACTGCTTCTTATCCTGAACACTTGACACCTTGAGGGTAGAATTTAGCATTTGATTTTTACCTCCTGGAATATGCTGTTTGGTATGTGAGGGTTTCAGTACAAATGCTGCTGTCTATTTCTGTGCACTTAACAATGGAACCCAAACAGAAGAGAATAAAGCATTGATACCAAAATTGGGAGACAAAATGTGTCCATTTGGACCAAACTTTTTTTTTTTTTTTCATCTTAATATGTACTGGTGGCACTTAACCAAAAGATACAGTGATATAGCCATGTACTGTGGTTGGGACAGATACAGTCTCCTTGGCCTATAATGAAACCACTAGGAATTCCTTTGTACATTTTCTTTAATTTGTTGGTGTATAAAAGGTAAATTACATTTAGGCTTATCCTGTTTTAAGACTATGGTAGTCATCTAACTGCTATTTTCATGTTACTTTCTAGGGAAAAAAAAAAAAAAAATTCATCCAAAAACTAGGATCTGTATCTAGAACAAGAATTGCTATTTGTCCTGACCTTTTCCTCAGTCGTACAGAGAAGCATCTGTGTTTCCTTTATACTTGCCATGGGTGTAACCTAAAAAGTTTTGGTGTATTTAGGTCAACCTAGCAGAACTTTTTTTTCATTTAGATGGAGTTGAATAATGGAGATTGTGTCTGGGAAATTCCTGAGATCACTGAAAATGTAACAAACTATTCCTTGTGTCTGATACATAAAATTCATCTAAGCATTCTCTCAATCATTCAAGTTTACTGCCAGTCATGAATGGCTTTTTAATTAACCTTTCATTGCACTTCTCTCTGCCCATTTTCGGGGGGGAGTAAGATTGGTAACATTTGAGGAGACTGTATCTGTCTATTTTGCGTGGCTGTTTTGAGGGACTGTCCTATCAGTACACAAACTGCATGGCCTTGGAGAGACACTCTGGGCTCTTGGCTCAGATGTATTCATCAAATACTCCTTTCAGAGCTCTTGTGGGTGTAAGTGACATGATGTGGCCAAAAATCCAAACTGTGCAGTTGCGTTGTGACAAACATACAATGTGCTGTAAAAACTCAATACAATTTAAATAAAATCTCTATATTAGTGCTGCTTTGTTGGGTCTTTTTATTCATTTTGTCTAAGAAAAAATATTCCTTTGACCACGAGAAAAGACTAAAATGTTACACACTTTCTCCCAGCAATCCCATTTTTAAATGGACCCCTCTTTTTATCAGCATAGCTCCTATTGTACTTACTAACTGGATAGGGATTTATCCTTAGATACTGCGGTGTTCTTTCCCATCTCTTGTGAGTTTTCTCTTTAGTGTCTTAAAATTTCACCAGCTGCACACAGGATTGTACCTATTTTATCTTGATTCTCTCAACTCTTGTTGAGTGTCCAAGTTGAATAAATTGCCCTGAGCAAAATAGTGGCTTAAAAGAGTGTCTTTAAAAGTGTATATAAAATGGTACTTCCCAAAAGGTGACTTGGTTTACTCGGGGCATTGTACCCCCACGCTGTTTTTATCTGGAGAGACTTGAGCTGTTGAACTGTCCGTTAAACTGTTAGTAAAGACTATACAGTTTGGTAAGCCCTTTTTTCTCAAGAATGACTTAGTTTATGTTGCCTAACGCATATATACTCTGTGAATTATAAATCACCACATGCTGGGTGTGCTGAAATACAAGAATCTTAGTATTCCACAGTGATAACTGGACTTATTTCTTTGCAGGACTTAAAAATACCTGGCGGGCAGCAACTCCCAAGCCCAACGCCGGCGGTTTTAGGACGCCTGGGGAGTGTGACTTTCTCTTCCGAGTCCCACGCAGCTCCACCCGGCGGGGCCGGCGCAGCAGTGAGCGGCCCCGGCCTCGCAGGCCTTCCGCGTGCGCGCCGGCCGCGCGACTGCGCAGGGAGACGAACGGTTCGCGCTGTGTCCAAGCCGCGCGGTGGGAACTCGAGGCCCCATTGGCCGCGCTGCAAGGTGTGGCGGGGCTCGTGCGCCAACGGTTCCCGGGTCCGGGTTTGAGGCGGCCGGGCGCTGGAAGGAGGGGGCAGGGCGAAGCGAAGGCCAGGGGGGATCGAGAACGGGGAGGGAGAGCCAAGCTCGGCGGGGCGAGGCCCAGGGCCGGGCGGGGCGATGGAGGAGGCGCTGCTCTCCACTCCCATCAACCCCAATAACTTCCCCGCTAAGCTGTGGCGGTTGGTGAACAGTCCCCGGTATCGCTCGATCCGCTGGGACGGCCGCGGCGAGGGGCTGCTGATCGACCAGCCGCTCTTCGAGGCTGAGCTCCTCAGCCCTCCTGGAGCAGGAGCCGGAGGCGCCGGGGGTGGCGGGGCCAGCGGCGTCGGGGGCTCCGGGCCCGAGCCCGAGCTCTTCAAAACGACCAACTTCACCAGCTTCATCCGCCAGCTCAACCTCTATGGTTTCCGCAAGGTGGTGCTGGGTGGGTCGGGCGCAGCGGAACTCGGGGCTGGAGGTGGCGGGCCGGCGGGCGACGGGCCGCTCCACCACTTCCACAGTCCGCACTTCCGCCGGGATCAGCCGCAGCTACTCGTGCACCTGAAGAGGCTCACTAGTGCCAACAAGGCCAAGCTGGCGGCCGGCCTGGAGGTGCCCTGCCGCCCGCCCAACCGCTTCCAGAGGCTCCTCATCACATCAGCCTCCGCTTCAGCCTCTTCCTCCACCTCCCCGCTGCAGCACCAGGAGCCAACGCCTCCGCCAGCTGCGGGGCGCCGGCCCGAGCCGCACGGTGAGTCCGGGCCACCTGGGCTCGCATCCTGAGCCACCTCCCAGGGAAGTCCTTCACCCATGGCAGGGCACATGGAGTGGCGTCAGGGAGCAACCGCCACTTCACAGGGAGGGCATTTTCGTACATCCTCACCTTTGATATATCCACCTAGGACCCAGAGTGCACTCTGCACACTTTCCACTGGGCTTCCTGAGACTTTAGGTCACATCACCTCCATCGTTCTCATTACCATCATCCATTTCTGCCAGTACCTCCTCTGGAAAGAGTCCGTAAGCATTTAGACTTTTTTTGTGCGCACTAGCAGCCAAAAGGACTTGTGCATTAGGCTTTCTTTCTACTCCTTCCTGGACCTCTCTTGAATCCCCAAAATTTACCAATTTACAAATCTCTATAGCCGTTTACTTTATTTAGACCCAGGCTCTGCACTGTAAACATCTAGCCCTTTGTTGAAGCAGAACAGAGTTACTTATTATACAGAGGTAAGAATAGAGTGAAGGTCAAGGTGGAAGGAACAAAGTCACAGCCAAGAAAACTTAAAGCATTTATACCAACCATGTGAAAGTGGACAAGTTAACCTGAGGGGACGTTTGTCCTTGAGACAGGCCACCTTCCACAGACTGACACAGATAAGAAATCTTGGAAAAAGTGTTATGACAGTAATTTTAAGCTTCCAAGTAATGTATTGAATGACAGACGTTGCCCATTTGTTTCAGTGTAGCTAATTAGGGTTTAAAGTTTATTTAAGGTGTTAACAAAAAATGGTTTCCTACACAGCTGTCATGTTTTATTTCCAAAGAATTTTAGAAAACTCACACAATCTTCTGATTTATTTTCACCATTGGCTACAGTCTTTTCAGTATTGGAAAACTTTGTATAAGTCTGTATTTACTAAAAATTCACACGTCTCCTGTGATACTGAATTGTTTTATAAACTTGATTTCTGGTGCTCCTCCCACCTCTTCCAGGAGTGAGGGTGGTGATACTCCATTTCCCTAAGGAGTCCATGAAATGAAGCAGTATACCAAGAAAGCAATAGGATAAAATGAGATTTCACTCTACCTTAAAGGAGGAGGGAAAATAGAAACATTTTCAGCATGTTAACATGGACTTAAATTTACAAATGAAAGTAGCACTAAGTTCAGTTTAACCTAAACTCAGAGTTATGAATGAGATAATACTTTCTTCATTTGGAATTTAGAAGATAAGGCATGAGCTTGTGTGTCTGTGGAGTTTAGAAGATAAGCAGCTAGGTTAGAGTTCTAGTAAAAGGTTGAAAAACAGCAGTGGCATAAGAATGTTCTACAGGAATTCTAAAGGAATATTAAGTCACTTCCATGTTATTGCTATTGATTTTGGTGGTACAATGAAATGAGGAATGGCAATGGAGACAGTAACATGGCATACTTTGGGCAGAATCTCTGACATGGATATTTTTTTTTCCAGGTTGTATATCTGGTGGGCTTAAGGAGAAAAAACTGGAGAATGTGGTCTCAGCTGGCACTGGGAAAAGTGGGAACAAACAAAAAAATAAGCATACATACATGAAAACCAATCCTTGCTCACTTTTTTTCCCGCTGATGTTTTCCCCCCTCATCTATCGTAAACCTAGTTATATTCTGCAGTAAGTTTTTTTTTTTTTTTTTATTTTATTTTGATTTGGGTGAAGATTTACAGAGTAAATTCACTTTTCATACAGCAGTTCACATATACTTTGTCTCATGTCATTGACCAAAATTTACAATGCAACAGCTCCCCTCCCACTTCCTCCCCATAGTTACCTCTTCCCAGTGTCCATCCCTCCATACTCTTCTGCACCCTGAGCTGTCTCCCTGTGCGTAAGCAGCCCTTCCTTCTCCCATGATTGTTCTCTCCAGGGTGTGTCTACTTGAGGTAAATGTTTAACTCACTTGCCTATTCTTTGTTTAGCTGGAAACCACAGGTGTGGGTTCAATCCCAGACCTGAAGGACAGCTAGGGGCCATAGTCTCAGTGGTTTCACCAGGCTCTATTGGACCAGCAAACCTGGTCCCCACCTTCTTTTTTTTTTTTTTGCCTCCAAATGATTTTGCGTTTTGTTCCACATTGTTCTCCCTCTCTATGCAGGATCTCCTACATCCCTTCCAAGTGGATGACAGTGGTAGCCAGGCACCATCTAGTTCTTCTGGTCTCATAGTTGTGTAGGTTCTGCAGTAAGTTTTAATTAAAGAAATATAGAGGCTGTCTAGGAGGTGATTTTCTTCATTTGTAGTTTACTTGGTCTACATTTTAGATTACTAATTTGTTGAAAAACATACCAATGTAATTTATATTTCTTCAGCATAGGAAAGGCATCATTTCACGTATATCAAGATTACTATAGTTTTCATCCATTTCCTGTTTTTTTTCTGTGCTGCCTGTTGGTGTATACAGAAAGTATGGATTGTCTACACTATAAGGCTGGTTCCCTAGAGAATTGTGTTATTGGCTCAGGTGGAATGTACTTCTGTTGAAAGTTCAAGAATATTGGCACAGCTTTATTTTGCTCTCATTCCATGTTCTAAGTCCTTGTCTTCTACTTTTTCCTCACCTAATTTTTTATTTCTACTCAAATCTTGCCTTATTATATGCCTGACTATACTGCAGCTTCTTAGTCTCCATTGTATTTTCTGTGTTGAATACTTTTATTTCTTTTTCAATAGAATCCTCTGTTTTAGATCTTAATTCTCTTTTTTAGATCCACTGAGCCAACTGTCCTGTTTACCTTTGAAAGAATCTCTTGATAAGATATGAGGATCAATCACATCATGTTTTCCTTTTTTGTATTTGCTCACTTTTGCTATTTTGTTTTTGTTGGCAATTTACTTTATGATATTTGTTAAAACTTTCTAAGCTAAGTAACAAGTCTGAGTACTAGATAATCTCCTTTTGATGATGCCAAACTCAAGAGGACAATTTTGGGATTCTTTCCTGAGGATTGGTTAGCTCACACTCACTTATATATGAAGGAATAGAATATTCAACAACAGATATCCATCCTGCCTTTCCAGAATTCTGGATTCACACTTTGCCAAGTATACTTTGAAGATGTTCAGAAACATATGGGTCCTATTCTGTAAAGTTGATAGAACTAGAACCCTATGGGGTAGCCCTTAAGCAGAATAAATAAGAGCTAGATGTTTTTAAGAGTTCTTTATTTTAACAAACAAGCAAACTTGAAGGAACATCCTTTTATTCCGGACAGTGTTCTTATGTTAACTCAAAACTCATGGCCGTCAAGTTCGATCCAACTCATAGTGACCCCTCTTTGGGTTTCTGAGGCAGTATCACTACGGGAGTAGATTGCCCAAACTTCCTTCCAAGCAGTGGCTGGTGGGGTTGAACCACCAGACTTCTGGTTAGCAGTCAAATGCCTTAGGTACTATGTCACCAGAGCTCCCGTTCTTATGTTATCAGCACAGCACCTAAAATAACATAGGTAATTGACCATCACTCAGCTTAATTACCATGATAAAAGCAGAATTTGTATTTTATTGAGATCTAACCCAAAATTTGAGAAGATAAAGTACAGAATTCTTTAATTAGCTGCTTAAGTTATTGACAGTCTGAAAATTGATCAATTATTAGCTTATCCTTAAAGGAAACAGGAGCTATTGCTCACTGTAGGCAATATGTAGCTTAAGTATGTGAGTTTCCAAGGAAAAATCAAGTGATACATAACTTTGGACATGGAGAAACGCCTGTCATAAAGAGCATTTTTTTTTAGGTCTTAGGAGCTCTGGTGGCGTAGTGCCTAAGGCATTTGACTGCTAACCAGAAGGCTGGGGGTTCAAACCCACCAGCCACTCCTTGGAAGGAAGGTTGGTCAATCTACTTCAGTAGTGATACTGCTTCGGAAACCCAAGGAGGGGTCGCTATGAGTCGGGTCCAAGTTGACGGCACATAATGACAACTAGTAGTGAAGTAACATAAAACTTCTGTGTCATTTAAAGGGTTTTTTTTAAGAAGTATATAATTTAAATAGGGTCACTCTTTTGAACTAGGATTTTTTTTCCCCATTAGATTTAAAACTCCTGATTTCTGGGGCTCCAGAGGTTTTGTTGTATGTATATATGTATCTATGTATGTATTTCTTTCTTTCTTTTTTTTGGCAGTTGTACTTTATCCTTTAAAGGAAATTAAATATAATAGAGATAGAATGAGATATGTGGAACAAGAATAGGTTTACAATCTAAATATTTAGAAAAGTAGATAAATACTTTTGAGTTCCACTTTTCAACATGGTTAAATAACTTGAGTAGCAAATTAATTTTTTCCCTCCACTTAGGTTAATAAAATAAGTTGAAAGAGATTTATGAACTACATAATTTAATATGCAAGATCCTCCCTAGGAATAAATTAGACTAGCTCTGTTTATATTCAAGAATCAATGTATTAAATAAATAAGTTCAGCCTGCTATATTTATGCTTTCTCTTTCCTCATTTCATAATTTTGCATCTTCACTTTTAATTCCTTTCTGCCTTGCTAGATAAAGCAAATGTCAGAACCTCTGGGCCTGAGTATGTGGATTTTTAACGAACTTTTCAGGCAATTCAGATGTAAACCAGTGTTTGAGAGCCACTGATAGCTAGAAGGGATATTACTACAGAAACACTGAAGAAAAAAATCAAAAGACCTTGAACACTAACTAAGGAAAGAAGAAGAAAACTAAGTCAAAAGTATCAAGAAAGATTATAATTAAAAAAAAGAAATTGGAAAGAAAACAATAATTTCTTTTTGGTTTATGTTATAATTCTCATTTGTTCCACACATTTCTTTCATGTATTTTGCCCAGTGCGTATTTTCTTTTCTACTATTGAGGTACCTAAATGGTTTGAAAGATGACATGCCATTTCTAAAACTTCTAGGGAATACCTTAAAGCAAAACAAAACAAAAAACCCAAACCTGCTGCCATTGAGTTGATTCAGACTCATATCGACCCTATAGGACAGAGTGGAACATCCCCAGAGGGTTTCCAAGCCCATAAATCTTTACAGAAGCAGACTGGCACATCTTTCTCCTGTGGAACAGCTGTTGGGTTCGAAGTGCTGACCTTTAGGTTAGGAGCCAAGTGCTTTAACCACTGTGCCTAATGTATACATTGGAAAATAAGGCTCAGTCAGTTGAGGTGTAAAAGATAAGATGGCTAAATCATCTACAAGTTAAATGATTTTTAACATTGAATATTTGATTTAAAGCTGGATGTTAGACTTATGGCAGGCATTGAAAACCAAAGAATTCAAGTTTATTTAATTATTTTTCAGCATTATTTTACCAGTAAATGTAATCTCATATTCTAGATTCTGAATTTATCTTATCAATACTAAATTTCTGTTTTGTTAGAAATGGCTGACAACTCAACTTATTGCTACATGAAGAGACATGCATTTCCTGACCTTTGGTTTACTGTATCTGGTAGTATTACATAAAATTAGTAAATGTTCTCTTCCTTTTTTATGCAGGACCAGTGGCTGTAGGACAATTTCACCGGTCATTCCGGCGAGATAGTTTGTCTCCTTATTCCTACGTATCAACTTCATCCCACAACCACAGTACTTTCCCTCTGAAAGGTTTAGATCGGACCCCGATTCCTCCTAGAACATGGCAGAACTCCCTTGGAATGCACCCAGGACAAGTGGAGACATCTCCCACTTTTTCAGATAAAGGCGTTCCATTTCCTGTACTACAGAGATTTCCAACTGAGGTTACCTATACGCTCCAGCCCAGCGCCACATCAGCACATGTTCAACAAGGTCCTCAAACAATGGTCAGCTCCTCCCAAAAATATAGTAACTACACACCCTCGGCGCAGTACTCCCAAGCCTACTATCCAACAGGTATGAGAAATTCAAGTTAAGTGTCTTATATTGTTACTTTTCTATAAGTATGTTTATATTTCAAATGCTTTTTATTCTGTATATGCTTAAACAAAAATAGCAGGAATATAGTGTTCTTAAGGACTGTGACAATTCTGTTGATGCATAAATGTGGACATTTTTAGTAGTTCTTTGTTAATATACTGCTGCAACTGTTTTTGAGTTATCTTCAGTAAAGTTTTACTTGAGTATGATATTAATGATATTATTCAATAATTTCCACATTCTATTGGATCCTTTCTTTGGAATGAGCACAGATATGGATCGCTTTTAGTCAGTTGGCCAGGTAGCTGTCTTCCAAATCTCTTGCCATAAATGAGTAAGCACCTCCAGCACTGCATCTATTTGTTGAAACATCTCAATGGGTAGTCCATCAATTCCTGGAAGCTTGTTTTTTTTTTTCTTATTCTTTCAGTGTAGCTTGTACTTCTTCCTTCAATACCATTGGTTCTTGATCATTTGCTACCCCCTGAAATGTTTGCACATCAACCAATTATTTTTGGTACAGTGACTTTGTATATTCATTCCATTTTCTTTTGAAGCTTTCTGCATTATTTAAGACTTTGCCCATAGAATCCTTTAATATTGCAATTCAAGGCTTGAATTTTTCTTCAGTTCTTTCTGCTTGAGAAATGCCAAGTGTGTTCTTCCCTTTTGGTTTTCTGACTCTAGGTCTTTGCACATTTCATTGTACTACTTTATTTTATCTTCTCAAGCTGCCCTTTGAAATATTCTGTTCAGCTCTTTTATGTCATCATTTTTTCTGTTTGCTTTAGCTACTCTCTATTCAAGAGCAAGTTTTAGTCTCTTCTGTTTTTTTACTTACTTATCTAAACCAGAACCAAACCAAACTCACTGCCATCGAGTCAATTAGGACTAATAGCGACCCCCATTGGCTTTCCAAGATGATAAATCTTTTCAGAAGTAGGTTGCCCAGTTAGATTGTCAGCTAGTTTGAAGAACAAAAATATTTTGCTGTTTTAAAAACTAGAGAATGACTAATTTCATCTTTATAAATACATATATGTATAAATATATCTTATATATAGCAACAAATGGGGTTATATTTTTATTGCTGTGGTGTTTAACCCAATTTTTAATAAACAAATTAGACATTGCTATATAAATTATAATTTTGGCTGCATTTTATATATACATAGAATGTATAGAGAGTCTGCTTTTCTTATACTTGGTGTTTATTCTGTAGCCCATCAACTGAATAATTCTATATTCCCTCCTTTTGCCAATAAATGTTTCTCTTTCCTTTTCTAACCCCTATTCTAATCCTACTCCTCAAACTACTAAAGATTCAAAAACTTCTGGATAGTTGAAATTTGGGAGGTCTGTAGTAGGGAGATGGAGGCATTTTCCTATGGAAATACTAGATATGGTGGTCAGGTTCTATATTGCTACTAGTCTTATACTTAAGGTACAGAAGTCTGTAGTCTGGAGTATTAACTATTTATTAAATTACTGTAATTTAAGATATCTTTTTAAAAAATATTTTATGTTAGCTTGGATATGAATTTATAAACTGAAAATTGTTTCAAAGAGTTCAAGGTAAGGACTAGGAAGGAGACATCAGAAAGAACAAGTATGTGCTACTCATGTTTTGATAGTGTACCAAACTGAAAAAAAAAAACCAAACCCACTGTCATTGACTCAATTCCAACTCATAGTGATCCTGTGGGACAGAATAGAACAGCCTTATAGGGTTTCCAAGGCTGTACATCTTTAGAAAGTAGACTTCCACATCTTTCTCCTGCAAAGATCTTGGGTATGGTCTTCAAATGTATAACTAGTAAATTTTTAATTTTGTGTTATTTCATAAATTATTAGTTTTCTAGTAAATCCAAACACTGAGACTAAAAAATTGTCAAAAGACTCATAAAATGACCTCTTGAAATAATTTTTTAAATATTTGTTGTTCTTCCCTTGAAGCATCTGTTTTTCTTGTCACTCTTGTTTGTGTTTTTCCCATTCTTAAAACTCCTGCAAAAGAAGCCCTGCTGATGTAGTGTGGTTAAAGCATTTGGCTGCTAACCACAAGTTTGGTGGTTCAAACCCGCCAGCTGCTCCATGGAACAAAGATGAGGCATTATGATTCTGTAAAGATTTATAGCCTTGGAAGCCCTATGGGGAAGTTCTACTCTCTCCTAAAGTGTCTATATGAGTCAGAATCAATTCGAAGACAGTGGGTTTGGTTTGGTTTTTTATTCCTTCAAAGACAGTGTTATAAAGCCGGTATTAGTTGACTCTTTCTATTCTTGTCCTATGTAAAATTCAGTTTTTCTCCCTGATATTTTTACAGTATGCTACCATCATGTAACTTTTCTCTTTTATTTAAACTTCATCTACCTTTTTATTTTACTCATTTTCTACTGTGTATTTGAACATACATAATAACATCCATATACTTATATTTATATGGAGAGATTGAGGAATTCCTGTATTGAGGAATTATTTTCCTTTGACTAATGTTACAATACTGAATTTACACAAAATCAACATTATCTTTTTTCAGAATTAAGTTTTAAGCTCAAAGCAGTCATTAGCTGCCTTTCACTCATATTTTACTGAATTTAACAAATAAAATATAGCGTGTAAGTATGCCCAGGCGTTGTTTGAAATAAAAAAACAACCAACCTGTTCCATCTCAGAGCGATCCTATAGGACAAGGTAGAACTGCCCCATTGGGTTTCCAAGTCTGTAATCTCTACGGAAGCAGATTGCCCCTCTTCCTCCCATGGAAGGGCTGATGGATTTGAATCACTGACCCTTTGATTGGCAGCCAGGCACTCAACCACTGTGCCACCAAAACCAAAAACCAAACCAAACTCACTGCTGTCAAGTTGGTCCCGACTCATAGTGACCCCTCCTTGGGTTTCCGAGGCAGTATCTCTACGGAAGTAGATTGCCCAACCTTCCTTCCGAGGTGTGGCTGGTGGGTTTGAACCGCCAGCCTTCTGGTTAGCAGTCAAATGCCTTAAGTACTATGCCACCAGAGCTCCCAGAGCTCCTTATTGTTCTGAGCACTGTCCAAATGTTAATTCATTTAACCCTCACAAACATCTTGTAAAATAAGTAGTGTAATTAGCCTCATTTTACAGATGAGGAAACAAACCCAGGTAGTTTGACTCAATAGTGGGTTATTTTGGCTGCTTAGCTTTGCTGTCTGCCTGCCTCTCAGACAGAGAAGGTATTTTGTTTGTTTTGTTTTCCTTTTCAGAGAATCTCCTGCTATCTCTTTTTCTTAGAGTTAGTTACTCCCAAATAGGGTAGACAAACGAGATTGGTGGAAGGATCCACCGTTTTATGATACTGGTGCTGTTGGGGTTGCCCTAGGTTAGTGACTCACCCTGCCCAAGCAGAAAAAACATACTCCACCTGCTAAAGTAGGGGTTTCAATTTGGGGCTTTGGGGAGTGGGGCTGCTTATAATTTATCTCTGTATCCCCCTACACCTAGCCTAGAGCTTGACGGTATGGGCCTTAGTAAATAATTTATTGAATGGAATCAACTAATTCTAGTACCAACTTTGCAGTTTGTGATCTTCAGTGGATTGTTTCACATCTGTGAGCCTCAGTTTCCTTTTTTATAAAGTGGGATGATAGTTTGTCAGGAATTAAATGTGAATAGTCCTTGTAAAATGTAAACACTATTTACATATTTACAAAACATATTTAAAATGCCTTTTTTAAAATGAACCAAAATATTAATACTTTAATGACTAATAGTTTATATGAAGATATATTTTCCTCCAAGATACACGTGTTTTTATTTTTTCTTTATTGAAAATAATGTATTTTATCAATACTTCAAATTTTTCTGAATTGACTCTTGGAGAAAAATGCATTGCTTATCATTGTTTTAAAGTACCTTTAACTTCTAGAGGTTTGATCTTTAGGCTCCTAGCTCTACCTAACGTACACAAATAGAGTATCTACAGTTACAGCTCTTTGATGCTGTTACTCTTGTGCTCAGGTACCTTGTACTTCAGTTTCTCTGAAGAGGTCTGATTCCTGTTATGGAAAAGAGGGACTTGGAAGGAGATATACCAGAAGTTCTTTTTACCTGTCAGAAGAAACCAAGCAAAAGCACAATTATACTTGTTACCGGGGTCCCTGTGACCTTGAGGAGGACCTTGCCTTCTGCTGACAAAGAATTGAACAGGAGACACAAATTGTCTATGTGAACCAAAGTTTATTAAAGAGAGAGGAAAGAGAAGGGGGCTTGCGAGGGAGAAACGGAGAGGGGCTCTCACCTACTCTAGCCTCTGGTGTCTCACTGAGCAAAAGATGACCTAGAGTTTATAAAAAAGGTTTTTAGGTAGAATAAGGCATCATCTTTATTCATAGAATAGATGGACATTTCCAGGAAAAAAGGTGGGGTTATGAAAATCAGGTGCCAATTCATGCAGGAGATAGCCAACATGGATTCCGCTGCAAAAGCTGTCAGAACAAAGATGGAACCTGGTATGAAGGCTGCTGGAATGTCGGGCATGTGATGTCTTTGGATTCTGGTTCAGTCCGGCAAAGGATTCCTGTTCTTGACTGCCTCTGGTGAAAGGTCAATTTGTCAGTCAAGTTGAATTTTGTATGCTGTGTACCTGGTGAGGTACTTCAAGGAAAACTCTGAGGTTTATCAGCATCCTACAATGGTTAAGCTTATGGGGCTTTTGAGATTTAATTTCTTACCTTGCCTAAGGGCCTGGCTCACCAGCCAGCAGCAAGAATTATGTGGTGGTCTGCATTTAGGCTTAAATTCCAAGGGTGTTGGTTGAGTCAGGGGTCTGTTTGACCTGGCTAGCGCAATTCCCTACTTGTCTCATATTTACCTCATCAGAAATGAGATATTGGGGTTCTGGTTGCTATAGTAACTTATCTTGAAATTAAAGTTACTGTTATGATATTTTCCTTTTTGAAGCTGTTTATATTGGGCATTTTCTCACTGTTGGTTTGAAACTGCACTATTCTGGAATAGATTCAAATCAAAAACAGAAATACCACCTTGGGATAAAGTATATGAACCTTTTTGCTTACCACGCTATTGGGAGCTCTGGTTGCATAGTACCTAAGGCATTTGACTTTTAACCAGAAGCCAGCCACTCCTCAGAAGGAAGATTGGGCATTCTACTTCCGAAGGCCAGCCACTCCTGGGAGGAAGGTTGGGCAATCTACTTCCGTAGTGATACCGCCTTGGAAACCCAAGGAGGGGTCTCTATGAGTCAGATCTGACTTGACAGCAGTGAGTGTTTTTTGAGTGGAAGTAACAGTTTTTACATTTAAACTTGATTTTAAAGTAATATCTGGCTTTTTTTTTTTTAATTATTTTTGTTGTTGCTGTTGAGAATATGCACAGCAGAACATACACTAATACAAGTTTCTACATGTACATTTAGTGACATTCAAGTTGTGAAGCCATTCTTACCCTTCTTTTCTGAGCATTTCTTACCTCATTAATATAAACTCCCTGCCCTCAAAGGTTTCTATCTAATCTTTTAAGTTGTTTTTGTCAATTTGATCCCATGTAAATAGTTCTAAGAAGAGCTTAATGCTCAAGGCAGACTAGATAAGCTAAACTATTAGTTTTTAAGAAGACTTCAGGGGTATTTTTGGTTTAAAGTTAAAGATTATCTCAGGGTGATAGTTTCAGGGATTCATCTACCCTCCCTGCCTCCAGAAAGTCTAGAGTCCATGAGAATTTTAAAATTCTGTTCTGCATTTCTCCCCCTTTTGATTAATAGCTGGCCTTCCCCCCCCCCCCTTTCTAGAATTATTTTTTAAAGGAGATAGCAACAACCCTTGTATTTATATCTGGAATAGAATTCTGTCCATTATTTCCAGTTTTCTTTCTATGTGCAATTTAATTCCATCAGTGGACACTGTCTTCAGGGAGAGACAGAAAGATCTTTATGCAAATAAATATGTCCTAGGACAAAGTGGTAAACTCAGTTTTATTTACATGTTAATGCTGTCACAATGCGTTCATAATATACACTAGTGTATTTGTCACATACTAAGAACATAGTATAGGACATATATTTCTATAGCTAGACTTTCATATTCAGTAAACTTACTGAAATGTACCTTGCTTTGTTCTATTTTGTTGACTACACAAAAGGAGGACTGCAGTGGTAAGGAAATTGCTACTCAGGAGTCCTTTTGGATTATAATCTGTTCAAATTTTCCTTTTCTTCGTATAAGCACCTTCCTACTTTTCATTTGTTATGGGACACTTTACACCATTTTGCATTTCCTTTGCTATCAATTATATACTAACATAGCCCATATTGTATATTCAAATTTCATGATTTCTCCTGGAATATCATTTTAAAGTACATTTAACAATTCAAAATGTTTAACCAGCAACATCAGAACATAGCAATAACAAAAATAGCTAACACCTTTTATAGATTTATTTGTAATGAAACAATGCTTTTAGCCCATCTCTGATGGGATATAAAAATCTACAACTTCTGATGGAGTCTTTTTTCTACCACCAGAGGGCTAGGTTTGACTGAACTAATAATAATAAGTTTATGGTTTCCTTAGCTATTAATATAAAAACCATTTGCTATCAGGGAGCTAAGGCATTTGATTGCTAACCAGAAGGCTGGCGGTTCAAATCCACCAGCCACTCCTCAGAAGGAAGACTGGGTAATCTAATGACAACAACTTGAATTTGTGGCAGTCTTAGTAATATCTGGCCTTTTTTTCATTACTGGAATTATTAAAAATTATCTCATTCAGAAAACATCTACCCTTATTTTTATGTTGTTGTTGTTGTTGTTGTTATGTGCCGTCGAGTCAAACCCGACTCATAGCGACCCCTCCTTGGGTTTCCGAGGCAGTATCACTAC